TCATTTGTCATAACGGGCCTCCGTACTAATAACTATGCAGGCAAAAAAATCACCTTTTCTTCTGTAATTTCGACAAACCTATTCCAAAGTGGGTTCAAAGTTATTACAAGCACCAATTTGTGCACACGTGTGAGAGATATTAAGAGTCAGTCTTTGTTCATTACTACCGCAATCACTGGTTGCTATGTTAAAAATGTAACTTCCGCTTTAAAAAGTGTGTTCGTATTATTAAACGCATTGGCAGAAAATTAAATAAAATTCATAACATGCAAGGATTCAAATTATTGTCCATTTTTATACCCGTCATAACTTGCACTTTAATCAGCAAGTATGTTATTTGATGAAATCAAGGGTAACTACGGCTGAAAATATAGCGGAATCTCACTATAATAGTGATATACCACTATTATAGCAGAATTTACGTTTCCCCCCAACCTGTGGATTGTGGCTTGGACTACCTCACAGGTATCAGCAGAAATTCAAATCAATAATTGCTGAACTGCTAATTGAATTATGTTCAGTAATTTAAAAAATCAAATTCATTTTGACATATAGCTTGTGTATTGTCAAATTCCGTCTATAAATATGCCAGTCACACTGACCTCTTTCATCAGTTGTTCACTGCTGCTCTAAGCTCATTGAAAACCCAAAAGCTCACTAAAAATTGTTGTTATGTAGTAACGACTATAAATTGAATATGAAGACGGCTTATTGAAATTTTTACGAACGCATTATCTAAAGAGTCAGAAACGAAAGTAAAAGTAAAAGGAAATGGCGACATTCGGCAAACCTCGGCTGATTCTGTCACCTTCATCAAACCTCGGCTGTACAAGGAAACTTGATATGCGTCTCCGCTTAACATTTGTGATAAGGCTGCCTTAGGGAAAACGTAACGCTTTGAAAATGATAATAAACATGCATCTGACATATGATAAAAATTTTCAAAAGCATTTAGGTAACACTAAGAATGACACTGACTAAGAAACATACACTTAGTATCTTTACATAATCACATGCTTGTTAATGGATCGAATTCAGCACACTGTGCATGTGTAAATGTAGGGCACAGCCATATTGTGTATAAAGTAGCTCTGGTTCAATGGAGGTTTACATGATACAGCCGAGGTTAGATGAGGTACGAATCGGCCGAGGTGTGCCGAGTGGAAATGCCGGTAGATAAATGAAGATCGCCAAAGTTTTTATAAGAAATATGCATATTTCTTTTAAAATGAAGGAAATAGAAATATCATCATGAAGATATCTATTCAGGATAAGTTGTTAATAAATTATATATGTGTTAGCGTTTTAATTAAGAATTGGAACAGAAGAAGGGAACAAAGGGGCAAAAATTCACCTTCAACAAAAATAACAGGCTTTCAAATGATGTTTTAATGGATTTTATTGGGAACCTTTATTACATTGCCCTAAGTATTACGATATTTTCTCGTGGCAAAATGAACATCGTAATAACGAGACTGCGCTGTACTACATCCAAATAATATCACTATTTTATAAAATAATTACTGCAATACTCTTACATCTGTTGGGATATTGCAAGTTAAAAACATTTTCACCTTCATTAAAAATTACAGTGACCTTTAGGCCAGCATTTTTTTATTTTTAGGTTTACAAACCTGCCGCTCAAGTTTCTGAATTTTCAGAAAAAAAATAAAATTGAGAAAAGTGGAATTTTTTTCTTTCCGATGCCCAATTTGAGTCGGGATCGAGATTTTGAATTTACGAACTCGTACTTCCGGTTTACGATAAACATGGGAACATGGCGGGTAATTAATGAAGGTAGGGCTGCATAGGCCATAGCAGCATCATAGCCTTGGTTTAGTGAGAAATTTATCAACGGGAGTGCCATTCAAAAAGTTTTCACCTGTTCAGAGGACAAATAAAATGCTGACGACTTTGTTGCACAATGGCATGTTAGTGAGATAATTTTGTATCCGTATTCAAAAGTATTTATCTGCATGTAAATTAATTGCCTCTCATTGGTTAAAAACTGCCCATAGTATCTATAGCCAGAGACATTGTTTAGATCTCTGCTATAGCTTACAGTTGAACCAACATTCTTTAGTAAAGGATTACTTATGCATCAGATGTAATGAATAACACTATGGAAGAAATGAAGTGCATTTGTGGGCAAAATAAACAATAGCCTTAAAATATTAAATATTTCAATTATTAAAGAAAAAAATTATATACAAATGTCTACAGGCACATAGTATTGTTTACGAATATGGCAGCCAGAAAAAATATTTTACAATAAGTTGAAAAAATTTTGACTCCCTCCTCAATGCTCCCTGTGTGTTATCTGATAGGAATATTTAATTAAGCTCTCAAGTATATTTTTAGAAAACTTTCTACACATTCATATAACACATATTTTAAAAAAAATGAAGATACATTAAAAGAGTGAAGAAATTTGATTTTTTTTTAAATTTAGTATTTTGACCAACATCTTAAAATTTATATCACTGGCACCAACGGGCAGACAATGAAATTAACAATTTAAGGTTCTATGAGAGCACAAAAAAAGAAGCAAAAATGAATGTACAGAAGTCGGAAATTTATCCAAAAATATAATTTTATTTTTTATTTCCTCCTCCTATGGAACTTTATCATTCTGATGTCCGTAAACCTAAAAATAAAAAAAATGCTGGCCTTAAGTTGGATGTGACACATCTACCAAAGATGCATTAATTGACCAAGTTTGATGATTCTAAGTCTAATAGTTTTTCAGCTATCAGCCAGACAGGATTTTGCCATATTTGGCCCAGGCACATAGTATCATTTTTCAAAGTGGAAAAAAATCCAACTCATGAAAATAGATCATGACCCCCCCCCCCCCCCCCCCCCAATGCATGTATGTGTTACATGTATGTGTTATATTGGATTTTTAGCTATAATTTGAAACATCTTTACCATAAAATAGTTTATATACATTTTGTAATGAATTGATTTTATGCACAAGATGAATGTGAAATCAATTAATGACTCATAATTGGATACCATAGACAGTCCCCTGTTCACACGTGGACATTATTTAGTGTGTGAAACGTGTTTCTGTATAATTTGAGTTATTTACAAAATGTTCATGTTTGTTGTATTGACGTGGAAATATTATAAATTCCAGACTTTGGATATTTTACAGTTCTGTTGTGTTGGGTATGACTTTGAAGAAGTTGCAAATACTTTTAACATTATTAAACATAGGTAATCAGAGATTACAGAGCTCACCTCAACGAATGTTGTCTTTAAGTAAGGCAAAGTCCCACACTAAACTAATAATCTAGGAGTGTGCATCCCTAGATGCAACATTTATGCAATTTTGGTCTGATAGGGCTTGCAGTTACTTGGGAATAGACTTATCTGAAAACTTAAAACTAGTCACTCATTCAGAAAATGTAAGTCAAATCCAGCATCCGAAGCAAGTTTTGAGATTGTTCGTCCCTTGATGCATCATCCATGCAAGTTTGGTTCAGATAGGCCTTATAGTTACTTGGAAATGAGATCTGCCCCAAAAACTTTAATCTGGTTACTCATCCGGAAAATGTAGGTCAGATCCAGCATCCGAAGCAAGTCCAGTAGTGTGAATCCTTAGATGTATCATCCATGCAAGTTTGGTCAATATAGGGTTTAGTTACTTGGAAATGACATCTGCTCCAAAAACTTTAACCTGGTCACTCATCCGGAAAATATAGGTCAGATCCAGCATCTGAAGCAAGTCCAGTTGTGTGCGTCCTTAGATGTATCATTCATGCAAGTTTAGTCAATATAGGGCTTATAGTTACTTGGAAATGAGATCTGCCCCAAAAACTTTAACCTGGTTACTCATCCGGAAAATGTAGGTCAGATCCAGCACCTGAAGCAAGTCCAGTAGTGTACATCCTTAGATGTATCATCCATGCAAGTTTGGTCAATATAGGGCTTTTAGTTACTTGGAAATGAGATCTGCTCCAAAAACCTTAATCTTGTCACTCATCCGGAAAATATAAGTCAGATCCAGCATCCGAAGCAAGTCCAGTAGTGTGCATCCTTAAATGTTTCATCCATGCAAGTTTGGTCAATATAGGGCTTTTAGTTACTTGGAAATGAGATCTGCTCCAAAAACCTTAACCTGGTCACTCATCCGGAAAATATAGGTCAGATCCAGCATCCGAAGCAAGTCTAGTAGTGTGCATCCTTAGATGTATCATCCATGCAAGTTTGGTCAATATAGGGCTTATAGTTACTTGGAAATGAGATCTACTCCAAAAACCTTAACCTAGTCACTCATCCGGAAAATGTAGGTCAGATCCAGCATCCGAAGCAAGTTCAGTAGTGTGCATCCTTAGATGTATCATCCATGTAAGTTTGGTCAATATAGGGCTTATAGTTACTTGGAAATGAGATCTGCTCCAAAAACTTTAACCTGCTCCAAAAACTTTAAAAAAAACTTTCGTTGAGGTGAGCTAAAAATATAAAGCAGAACAAACGCCTGTTTGGGTGAAGATCATGAAATGTACTAAGCTCCACGGCATTTGTTGTCATATTGGCATTAATTAAGACTTCCAGATCATGACTTGGCTAGTGATACCTTTGGATAACATTTGTCTCTAGGTGAAAGTTGACTTGGCAAAATGCGCCATCCCATTGTTTAAGTTTTATGAGGAAATTACACCGCCTATACCCGATTTCGTGGATACAACTATACCCTGATTTCAGGGATTATACGTGATTTCACAGATAATACCCGATTTCAAGTATTATCTCCAATCTGTGTGAAGGACAGAAGGATGGATTTTGGACATGACAAACACTATATGCCCCGGCTATATTCATGGCAGGACATAAAAATTTAATTCATAAAAAATGCATTACATTTGAGAATGAGACTTGGCATTGTCTGAGAATTGGTAGTCTGTCTGAGTACAGGTAGCCTGCCTGTATGGTCCAATATCCACTTACTTTTAAATGAATATTTCAAGTGAAAATAGATTGTAACAACTTACCAGAATATCTGGAAGCTTAAAGCTAGGGAGGTAGAAATAGAACTGCTCCAGTTGTTCTACTGTTGGCAAAAGACCTGCAGCCTGAAACAAAGCAGAATCTCTATATATTTTCTTTTAGCCAACAGTATTTTACCACTTGCCAATTATAATTTTTTAAGGAGGAGAAGGACCTTGAGCTGAAAAAATACTTGTCATTCATTTTTTTTCATATTTTGTATATTTCTAATTAAGTATGTCCCACATATCTTAAAGCAGTTAAATCATTAGGTTTCTTACCTTATTTTGGAGATATTGATTGACAAATACTATGCCCTACAGTATATAAGTGGAGTTTTAATTCTCCATGTTTCCGGGCGCATTACTCTGTCCATAATGGGATTTTTTAGGCATACATAAAAAATATCAAAATGGACATGTATCTTTTAAAATATTTCAGAGTATAACTAGGATTTAAAATTCGAAAAAGCAAGTTTTGTCTATCACACTGCATCTGGATAGGGAAAATAAAGCACTTTTTAAGACAACTTAAACAATAAAAAACGTAATTTACAAAAAATTCTATCATTCAATATTTTTTAATTTACGTTGAAATGCAAATCCTTCAAATTATTGATTAACTGCAAAAGTTTCGAATGATGAAGCTGACCTCATTATTTCACAGGACATCGTTAAAGAGGATATAAGCATGACAAAAACGTGTCATATTACATTTCTTGAGTACGGGAAAAACCAACTATGACGTCACATGTAAGCTAAATAAGTGAAATAAGATATACCTACATAAGACTTCCGTCATCAGCCATGCAAAAATAATTTTTGTGTTCCTCGTTTCTCAAAATATTTCATCATATACTGATTATGACCTGTTTTTACATAATAATACCGCCCCTCTGTTCACCGAGTATGATCTTGCTGTACTAACAAATCATGTATGACGTCACCGACTTGTTGGACGCGCAGTTTAGGGAAACAGAGGAGTGGATCAATCTTTTTCATAATTTGTTAATGTTTACAAGAATGTTAAAACTTTTTAATTTTTTTTTATAAGATGGTAATTAAAGTTAAAAAATTGTCAAAAAATTATACAAGAACTGATGCTTTACACTTTTTTCACTTATATAAACGGAAACTATGACGTAGTTAAACAGAGTCATGTGACCATGTGTCCTTCATCCCCTTAAACTAAATACTGTGAACACCTGAATTCCATGCCTTTAACATTTCAAGAATTTCTTTGTTGGAATCTGAAGGTATAAACTGGTATCTCATTAGGCCAGTTACATAGACACCTGAAAACTTGCACCTTTTTGCTCTATCTAACATGTTTTTTTATGCCCCTGTATCAAAGATTCAGGGGTATATAGTTTTTGCCCTGTCCATCTGTCTGTTTGTTTGCAAAAACTTTAACATTGCTCATAACTTTTGATTGGTTGGAGCGCTTTCATATTTCAAATGTGTATTCCTTGTGACAAGGTCTTTCTTTGGGTAGCATTATACTTGACCTTTTGAACTTGGAGTATGACCCAGTTTTAACTTTAACCTTGGCCATAACTTTTGAACAGTTGGTGCTAGGGCTTTCATACTTCACATGTGTAATCCTTGTGACAAGTCCTTCCTTTGGATACCAACAATTTTGACCCTTTGACCTTGACCTAGGAATTTGACCTACTTTTGGAAAACTTTAAACCAAGGCCATCGCTTTTGAGCAGTTGGTGATAGGGTCAAACTCCAAGGTCAAGATCAAAAGGTCAAATATAATGGAACTCAACGAAAGGTCTTGTCACAAGGAATATACATGTAAAATATGAAAGCCATAGCTCCCACCAATCAAAAGTTATGAGCAATGTTAAAGTTTTTGTGGACAAACAAACAGGACAAAAACTATATACCCCCAAATCTTCGATATGGGGGCATAAAAATAACGAAATACTATGAAATTATGCTGAATAGAATGTACTGATTCTAATAATAAAATGATATTACTTTTACAGTCTTGCATGTGTAGCACAGACAATTAATCAGCTGTTATTAAGAGGCAGTCCATTAGAAAACCAGGCAGTATTGTATTAATAGACGGCACATCGAATATGAGGAATATTTGATAATTTATTGAAAATGATATTAATGTTGTCTATGGAATAATGTAATTGAAGATTTGTCTGAAAATAGCTTATTTACAAAAATTCGTTTAGTTTTCTGTTCTTGAATTCCCCTATATAAACCATTGAATGTAGGTTGGAAACAAAGAACTGTAAATTCTAATAAATTTTCAACAGATCTATAATTCATTCCAAACTAAATCAAGAAATATATCATCTTTCAATTTAAAAAATAAAATCAGTGGGAAAAATATTTTCAATAGTAGTTTTCTTGCAAAATAGACAGTCGTTTTTATGAAATTTTGTGATGCAAGAGTTATCTCCCATAGCATCGGGAAATCGGCTAAACATCTTACTGTCAAAACCCCTTTGAAATATTTAGAACTAATACACTTAAGAATTTTATTTGACAAACAAGATGTGTTTGTGAAACATTGATGCCCCCGTATGGCAGCTTATGGCGAAGGTTAAATTTTCTTCAAATGCAAGTCAAAATCCAGGCCAAAAGATTAGAAATGTTGATATCCAAAGAAAGGTCTTGTCTCGAGGAATACACCTGTGAAATTTGAAAGACCTAGATACAACTGTTCAGAAGTTATGACAAAGGTTAAAATTTTTTTAATAAAAGTCAAATGTCAAGGTCAAGGTCAAAGTGGTTGGTATCCAAAGGAAGATCTTGTCACAAGGATTATATACATGAAGAATGAAAGCCCTAGCACCAACCATTCAAAAGTTATGGCCAAGGTTAAAGTTTTTCAAAAGTAGGTCAAACTCCAAGGTCAAGGTCAAAAGGTCAAAGTTGTTGGTATCCAAAGGAAGGCCTTGTCACAAAGAATACACATGTGAAGTTTGAAACCCCATGCACCAACTATTCAGAAGTTATGGCCAAGGTTAAAGTCTCATAAAATTTTGCAAAAGTGGGTCAAATTCCAAGGTCAAGGTCAAAAGGTCAAATATGATGGTACCCAAAGAAAGGTCTTGTCACAAGGAATACACATGTGAAATATGAAAGTCATAGCTCCAACCAATCAAAAGTTATGGGCAAGGTTAAAGTTGACAACAGACAGACAAACAGACAAACGGACAAACAGACAAACAGACAGACAGGACAAAAACAATATACCCCGGGATCTTTCGATCCGGGGGCATAAAAATGATTTGTCTATTTTCAAAGACAGAATTTTCAACCCCAAACATAATATTTAGATTAAAATTTGCTTTATTATTCAGGTTGAATCCACATTTCCATTGATGTATCAGTGACATCAAATACTTATCTAATATTGCGTCACAACAGTTGCAAATATTCCGCGAAAGTTGGTAAATTTATGTAAACATGCAAGAAAATAGATTTTTAAACAAGAGGCCCAAGGGCGTTGAATCGCTCTTCTGATAAACTGTACAACCTATCACTTCTATCTGAAACCTCTAAGTATTCTGTATATTTAGATAAAGACTTGAAATTCCAATGGTAGGTCACCATGACCTACATTTAAGATGAAACATTTTGAGAACCCAAGATGATTCTAAGCCAATTAGTACCTGAGAGTAGGTCATGTTGACCTACTTATCACTTGTCATTTTCTGAGGACCCAAGAGGCATCAACGAAGTTTGATGATTCTAAGCCAATTAATACCTAAAATATTTTTAAAATTATTACCATAAAATTTCAAAAGTAGGTCATAGTGACCTGCTTTTCAGATGACATACTTTGAGGACCCAAGATGCATCAACTGACAAAGAGGCACTCTTGCTCATCATAACTATGTACTTAGTTAGTTTAATTAATACCCAGGAGCAGAGAAGATTTTCAAAGAATTACCGTATCTGGCTGAATATAATACGCATTGGTGTAAAATACGCACACCCCTTTTTTGGCTTGAAAATTTGGGGAAAAACTCAGTTTGGTTGTAGTATATGCTGTCAAAATATTGACCAAGCAGTTATGTTGTCTTTTTTACATCGCAGTAAATTTAACTTAAAATCTTTGTGGAAATAATGTATTGAAAATTTAAGCACGGTAACTTTTCATGCGCAGACTTTGTTTTTTGAGTTTACGGTACTCCTGAATTTAAGCATGGCGGTATTATTCATAGAAATGATTAATTTTGCATTTTAAATCATTTTTTAAGCTAATGGCAATGTTTTAAAAAATTGTGGTATAATTTTATTAATTTTAACAAAGCACAAGATGTCGTCCCATTAAATTTGTATCAGGCTAAATATATAAATCCTGCACTTAAACGTTGCTGTTTAAATCTTCGTGTGGTAATGATTTTATTCAAGAAAGCACAAAATATTATTGCATTTTATTTTATTTTTACCTAAAGGCAATCGTGACACTACACGTTGTCTTTATCCTTGCAGAAATAATTTTATTTCAACAGAGCACGAAATACTGTTTTAGTTTGAACAGATCGACACAGTATAAATCATGTCTTTATACATTGAGGTAATATTTGGATATCTTATTTTCTACAGAGCACGAGTAATTAGAACACTTAAGTTTTAACAGACTTCATATTTCCTTTTTAAACTCTTAATTAATTTAACAAGAGGGCGATAAATATAAGATGATTAAAGTAAAATTACATTTAACAAGCGTTCAACTGTTTAATGTGTCATAATCAACACAAGTTCATACGAAAGAGTTAAAAATCGACCCCCCGAATTTTAACCAAGAAAACGATCAAAGCCATTAATAAGGGCATTAAATAATCAGTGCTCTAACTGTAAAAACAATGCTTGGGAGTTGATAGACAATTTATTAGCCTGGAGGAGTGTTGAGATCAAGTGACAAGCACACGTGTTCACAACATTGGCTTCGATTGAGACATATAGTATACAGTGGTATAGTGTTGAAATGAATTTTCACCGCGTTATTTAAAACCCCAAATAAATTTTGATTTATTGTATTTCATTATAAAATTGCTCAATTATTTTTTTTCCAACCGAGTGTCTGATAAGGTACATGTGTACTATGATTACGCAAGCACGTGACAAAGGAATGCGTGAATGTCTATAAATAACATCGTCAATGGCAGCCTACATGGAGACAATGAATATGCAGCTCAAGTTAATTGTAAATGTTTTTAATATCATTTAACAACAGATTATCATTATTAACAGATTATAAATATAACATTTTCAACAAGCCTACATTCCAACAATAATTTTCCGAAGTTTTAAATACAGCAATAAACAACAAGAATTTGCCTATGTCTCTAGATAATACTAAGATATGTCCATGTGATGGCCGTGTTTCACCTGAAAGAAAAAAACTATCAAAATCCTATTGTGGTGTAAAATACGCACCCCTTTCTCACCAAAACATTTTCAAGGAAAAAAGTGCGTATTATATTCAGCCAAATACGGTAATGCATTTTCACTATATAATCAATAGAGCCCCGCCCTAACACCGTAACCCCTGACCCTGGGGCCATGAAATTCACAATTTTGGAAGAAGCACTTTTCCTCATCATAACTATATACTTAGTTAGTTTATTTAACACCCTGGAGCAGAGAAGAAGATTTTCAAAGAAATAATGCACTTTCACTATATAATCAATGGAGCCCTGCCCTAACACCAGAACCCCTGACCCTGGGGCCATGAAAATCACAATTTTGGAAGAGGCACTCTTGCTCATCATAACTATATACTTAGTTAGTTTATTTAATACCCAGGAGCAGAGAAGAAGATTTTCAAAGAATTAATGCATTTTCACTATATCATCAATAGAGCCCCGCATAACACCAGAACCCCTGACCCTGGGACCATGAAATTCACAATTTTGAAAAAGGCATCAATGCTTATCATAACCATGCACTTAGCTTGATTAAATAATACCCGGGAGCAGAGAAGAAGATTTTCAAAGAATTAATGCATTTTCATTAAATAATCAATAGAGCCACGCCCTAACATCTGAACCCCTGACCCAGGGGCCATGAAATTCATAATTTCTGAAAAGACAACCATGTTCACAATAACTACATTATTAAATAGTTAGTTAGTTTATTCAATACCCAGGAGCAGGGAAGATTTTCAATGCATTAGTGTATTTTCACTATATAATTAATAGAGCCCCACCCTAACACCAGAACCCCTGTACCTAGTTAGTTTATTTAATACCCAGGAGCAGAGAAGAAGATTTTCAAAGAATTAATGCATTTTCACTAATATATTATCAATAGAGCCTCGCCCTAACACCGCAACCCCTGACCCTGGGACCATGAAATTTGCAATTTTGGAAGAGGCACTCTTGCTCATCATAACTATGTACTTAGTTAGTTTATTTAATACCGAGGAGCAGAGAAGAAGATTTTCAAAGAAATAATGCACTTTCACTATATGATCTATATAGGCCCACCCTTGCCAGAACCCCTTACCCTGGGTCCATGAATTTCACAATTTTGATAGAGGGCTCAATGCTTATTATAATCATGCCAACAGTTTTACTGCTTGATGTCCAAGAGTAAAGAAGAAGATTTTTACAGATTACATTAATTTTGGTGGTTTTAGCCCCACCCCTCAGGCCCCAGGGGGGCAGGGACCATGAAATTCAAAATTTTTGTTCCCCCTCACCCATAGATGCTATATGTCAAATTTGGTTAAAATTGGTTGAGTGGTTTCAGAGAAGAAGCTAAAAGTGTTCAAATGTTAATGCACATCACACGATGCACGACGACAGACAAAAACGGATAGCAAAAGGTCACCTGAGTGACTCAGGTGACCTAATGACAGTGAAAGATCTTGGGGCATAAACACTTTTATTACATTTTCAACAGTGAAATACTGTAATTTATTTACTAAATAAAAGTGATATTCTGACACAGTATGAAAGGATATCAAAATGGTATTCTCACAATGTGAGAATATCAGAAGTGAGGCAAAACTTACAATTTTCCTTCCCTTCATGAAGAGTTTTTTTTAAAAAAAATCCCCAGCCTATTATAAGATAGAGTTAATGAGCCATCCTGACAGAGACTAATAGTTAAACTGCCAAAATTTTTCCAAATATGTTGTTGAAATCCATGTTTACAACGTTTTTCAATCTTGCAATCACTTAGCTTTGACGTCTCAACCGCTCAACTATGACATCACAGCCTATGACACTGTGTTACGAAAAGACAGAGGCAAAGGGAAAATCTAAGAAAATGTAATAAACAGAAAATTCAATGTTTTGTAGATGAATATGGAATTTATTTCACTCATGAGACAGGATTTTTTTGATATTTTCACTCGTGATTCGCACTCGTGAAAATATCAAATATCCTTCCCACTTGGAAATAAATTCCATATTCATCTACAAAACATTGAATATCCTCTATTTACATATCTTTTTCATGTCCCTTACTTTAATATCTTCCACATCCTCTTTGATAATTGTTTTGATTTGCTCCATTGTCTTCTCCCCATATGCTGTAACAAGACCTACTTCCTGGCCACTTCTATACCGCCCTGCTCGTCCAGCTATCTGCTTTGCTTGTGGTGTGCTGATTCTTGACATTATCAATTCTCCATGTTCATTTCGATTCAACTTTTCAGCTTGGAGGAAAATCATTCTTCTGATTTTCCTGAAAAAAAAAGTTAATCAGATTTTAATTTGCTTTCCTATATAAATAAAATTACCTAGTACTTTCTTTAAATTAACTTGACTGAAGTAAACAGATGCATAAATTGTTTGTCAGAATGTCCTACTTACAGGTTAATCCCCATTCCTATGGCATCAGTAGCCACAAGCACCTTACATGGATCTTTTGGATCATTGAACTTCTGTGCCTGGGCTAACTTAGTGGCTATCCAGAATAGAAAAAAATTTATCTATTTATCAGTCATTTTGCACATTCCTATTAGTTCATACTTCTGGGCCTGGGCTAACTTAGTGGCTATCCAGTATAGAAAAAAATTCATCTATTTATCAGTCATTTTGCACATTCCTATTAGTTCATAATCAACTTTTTTTAAATTACAATATATATATATATATATATATATATATATATATATATATATATATATATATATATACAAGGGATTGCAATTAAAATGCAGAATTGCCAATCAGTTAACCGCAAGACCCTCTGGCCAATTAATCGGTTAATCGTATAAAAAATTATTGACATGCATGTATTTCATCACTGTAAGCTCTACTCAAATAAACAAGACTATAAGATGTTACTTGTAGTAATATTATGTTTATATTTGATCAGAACACTATATCTATACATAGGAAAAAGGGAAAACCCATGAAACATCTAAAGTATCGGATACATTAAAAAAATTCAGAAAAGATGTCACAAATTCATTCTGCATTGTACACCATAATCAAAAAATGTCTGAGTCTGCATGAAGTCTGAACAATATAGCTTAATTTACAATGTTTTTCATAGGATAAAGGATAGATTTGTTTGTTTGTAGATTAACATCCCTCTCGAGAATTTTTCACTCATACAGAGACGCTGCCACTTGCCGGTGGAGGGCTACAAATTTTGTCCTATACTCGGCACTCAGGGCCATTGAGCAGTGAGGGATCTTTTTCGTGCCAGCACCTACTGCGACATGGGACCTCGGTTTATACGGTCTCATCCGAAGGACTGGTGTCCACGTCCCGCAGTGGGATTCAAACCCACGACGTAAAGATCAACTCCGAGATATCCAAGGATTCGAGATGCCGAGGGTAAAATACCATATGTTGTAATGAAATTAATTTTTATTTATAAAGCACATTTTACAATATAATAGAATTTCTTTGTGCTTTCTATATTAATATTTCTTCACTTAGGGCAGTTATGTTAGTTTAAGTGTTGTTGTAAAATGTGCTTTATAAATAAAAATTAATTTCATTACAACATGTATTGGTAACAATCCTCTAATAAAAGTAATGTCCAAATAACTGTATCTCACTTCTATTCTCAATGATCGTGTAATGTAGAGCAGCACTGCGAGAATTCCATCGGCATCAGAGCAAGTTTTTTGACTTGCCTAGATAGCCGAGCAGTCTAGCGCGGTTCCTGTACTGCTAGGAGACAGATTTCCGTAGGTCTAGACTTCAACCCCGGGCTGGGGCGGAAGTGGATATCCTTATAACAGTGAATTTCTTTGTGCTTTCTATATATATATATCTATATACTTATAAATTAATAAATTTTGCAAATAAACTCCGAAACGGGTGCACCAGAGTTCTTACTTACTCCCCTAACAATACACTAGATACATGCTGATGTCCGTAAACTATATTTAGATTTCACTCGCATAGTAAGTATCGTACATTAAATTAAAAGTCTACTTTCATTTTCTATAAACAGCCATGAAATAGCTAAAACGTGAGTACGGTGGCGTTTCCGGTTGGCGGATCTAAGTTACTGGCAATTTTTAATGAAACTGACAACAAGCAATCGTTCATTTATTACATAAAACGTCATCACTGAATTATTCAATCAATACTCGATTTAAATGATATAAAAGAAATAAGTTGTGATAACCGATTAAGAAGGGAAATGTGCAAAATAGTTTCGTCATTCACTGATCTTTATATTGACGGAAGCTTCTAGAACATCATATAGCATCGAGCCCGATGTTAAGAAAAAAACGAGGCGATTATAGCTACATGACCATAAAAAAAGCTTTTGTGTAAATGGTCATAATTGAAATAATGGTAAATCACTAATAACGCTGTAAGTTGTGAATATAATTCTATATCGAAAGACTATTACATATACACTAGATGAAATCCCGCGCAAGCGGGGGGAATTGAATTCATACAACTACCGACAGAAAATATTTTGTAGTTTCTACTGACAGCCAACAGGATTATAGCAGGAAGAAATACTTTGTTCAAATTCCCGCACGAAGTAGATGTACGCCTCCCCCTCCCCCTTGTAAAAACTTGAAAATTAACAATTTCATTAATTGACGTTTATTGTGAAACCTCTTATACTATGTTATGGATATTGTACTTCAGATGCTTTTATTTCATTTCCGTCAAGAATAAAAGCAGTGAATATGCACATTTTACTGATAAATTGATTTGGGGGGAGGGGGGGGGTCAAAATTCACAGGTACTTGGGTCTTTGTTTATAAATATGTTTGTACCTTACTGATATGTAAATAATGTACTTTACTTTTTTTTTTTACATATCAATAAGGTACATACACATTTATAAACCAAGACTCAAGTACCTGTGTAAAATTAGCTTTTAACGCCATATGAATAGGCCGAGTATTTGATACAAAAGACTGTTTTCAGAAAAAAAAAAATGAAATGTATTGATTAAAGCACAAAATTTTACATCTTTAATTGTGTTTGAACAATACCTTATTCATTAATTTTCTCTTTACATGTAAGCAATTTTTTTACGAAGTACAAATTGTACTTCGGGTTCGTAAGGAATATATAAAATGTTTCAAAAAATGTTTCATGTTACAAATTTTACCGATAAATTTATTAGGAAAACCTACTACATACATGAATATATGTATAGGTAATAGTCTTTCGATATATAAATATATTCACAACTTATAGTGTTATCAATGATTTACCATTATTTCAATGACCAATCACACAAAAGCCTTTTTTTATGCTATGCAGCTATATGCACCTCGTTTTTTTCAACATCGGGCTCGATGCTATATGATGTTCTAGAAGCTTCCGTCAATATTAAGATCGGTGAATGACGAAAATAATTTACACATTTCCCTTTTTAATCGGTTATCACAACTTATTTCTTTTATATCATTTAAATCAAGTTTTGATTGAATAATTCAGTGATGACGTTTTATGAAATAAATAAACGATTGCTCGTGTCAGTTTCATTAAAAATTGCCAGCAACTTAGATCCGCCAACCGGAAACGCCACCGTACTCACGTTTTTGCTATTTCATGGCTGTTTATAGAAAATAAAAGTAGACTTTTAATTTAATGTACGAAACTTACTTTGCGAGTGAAATCTAAATATAGTTTACGGACATCATCTTGTATCTAGTGTATTGTTAGAGGAGTAAGTAAGAACTCTGGTGCACCCGTTCCGGAGTTTATTTGCAAAATTTATTAATTTATAAGTATAGATGTATGTAGTAGGTTTTCCTAATAAATTTATCGGTAAAATTTGTATATATTCCTTACTGAGAGCATCGTGGCAATTTGTACTTCGTAATAAACTTGCTTACATGAAAAGAGAAAATTAATGAATAAGGTATTGTTCAAATACAATTAAAGATGTAAAATTTTGCGCTTTAATCAATGCACAGTTCATTTCTGAATACAATCTTTTATAGCTGCAATAATGTAGCCCTCTCCTTTTTTTGAGGAGGGGGGGGGGGGCAAAGAGAGAGAGAGGCCAGAAAAAATCAGATCAAAAAAAAAAAAAAAAAAAAATCGGAAAGGGCTACATTATTGCAGCTTAGTCTTTTGTATCAAATACTCAGCCTATTCATAGTTCATAGGGCGTTAAAAGCTAATTTTTACACAGGTACTTGGTTCTTGGTTTATAAATATGTATGTACCTTATTGATAGGTGAAAAAAGTAAAGTACATTTTTACATATCAATAAGGTACAAACATGTTTATAAACCAAGACCAAAGTACCTGTGAATTTTTAAACCCCCCCCCCCCCCAATCATGTGCATATTCGTTGCTTTTATCCTTGACGGAAATGAAATAAGAGCATCTGAAGTACAATATCCATAACATAGTATAACAGGTTTCATAATAAACGTCAATTAATGAAATTGTTATTTTTCAAGTTTAAAAAACAAAAAAAAAAACAAAAAACAAAAACAAAAAAAAAAAACGGGGTGGGGGGGTGGGGGGGTGGGGGGGGGTGGGGGTTGGTTGGTTGGATAGGTAAATCTACATTATGCGGGATTTTGAACAAAGTATTTGTTCCTGCTATAAGCAGGGACCTATATACTAATATATAGGTTCCTGCTATAAGCCTGTAGGCTGTCAGTAGGCATATTTTCTGTCGGTAGTGTATGAATTCAATTCACCGCGCTTGCGCGGGATTTCATCTAGTATATATATATATATATATATATATATATCTATATATATATATATATATATATATATATATATATATATATACATACATACATACATACATAAAGACACACACATATATATAATATCATGGCTGGGTTTTTTTAAAAAGAGAAATATACCTGGAGGTAGACTGCCATATATTACAGCCACACTGTGTCCAAGCCTCTCCAGCTCCATACATACATTGTAAATCTTCAGCTTACTGAAGCACACCAAACAGTCTCCAGACTGCACTTCTTGTAATGAATCTATCAAAATCAGACCATTGTCAATATTGATTATTAATATCTGTATAAAGTAATATAATATCATCTCACTTTTACTATTTCAGAATATTTACAAAAGAAACCCAATATTCTGCAACATTTTATTGCATACATAATTTACATTTCACAATTGTTTTCTCTATAATCTCATTGTTTGCCTATTATGTCAAGAGCAAGAATCTAACAAACATAAAATGATAAACAAGAGGCCCATGGGTGGCAATGCTCACCTAAGTAACATTAGCCCTACTGTTCTTCAGGAGAAACTAGCATTGTCCAAAATGGACAAATACCCCCAGCTTGGTTTTTCAGAAAAGGTGCCAAGTCACTAAACATATTTTATGGATCTTAGAGGTGTTCACATTTGTTTAAACATTTAGAGTGAACAATGAAAATTTATTTGCTCCATAGGCATCGGAACGGGGGGGGGGTATAGCCCCCCACTTTTTTTGCAGACATAATATAGGCATTGAACATTGGGGCATAGATTTATCCCCCACACTTTAAGAGGCACAGGTTGCAGTGTAGTCAAAGAAGGGTATGTGTTAGGGTTTAGAAAAAAAATTGGTATTGAAAGAAGTTGATCCCCCCCCCCCTTCCCCACGAAATAGGATTTTCACATCTGGACAATAACTATATTTCCTTTTTTTTTTTTTTTTTTTTTGCTTGTCAAGTTTTTTTCAGGTTCGAATTTTTTTTTCTCTTTCAATTAGCCCCCCCACTTTCAATTTGCTTCCGACGCCAATGTGCTCATAATACTAAGGCACAGCCTAATAAACCATCAATACTAATAATTATATTGTTTTTTATTAGATTGAAAAATTAGTTGCAACACTTTGATATCTTTATGATACATGACACTCTGCAATTTCTTTGTTGAAGAAAAAATAAAAGTATCATATTATTTAATATATTTATCTATATCAAATTAATCTTGATAACTTTACATTAAATTCATTTTAAAGATAAAAAGCTGGTCAACCAGTAACTATGTATTTTAATTTGAAAGACTATAATTAATAAAATTACAATTAAGAGAGTTAGAGAACAGAGATCTTGAATTCTTCTGTCCAATTCCTAGGAGATACATTGTATAGATAACACCTGCTAGAACAGAGAAGCTCTAACAGCTTCCCACACTGAACTCATTAATTAATCTTTAACTGGATGATGTCCACTCATTATTCCCAAGGGACAAATGGATTTACACCACCTGCTGTATCTGTAGTACAATAGAAATGACATTTATTTATGTCATTCTGTTGAAAACAAAGATTTTTTTTTAAGTTTTGTTATAAAGCTTTATATAATGATAAAAAAGAACTGTTTAATCATGACGCAACATTTTTTAATAAGGTTACTGCATGACTCTTAGACTCTTTACAAAAAAAAAAAAATTAATACTTTGTGATTTTTTTTTAGTTTTAATGAGTAGTTTTAAGCTGCAATTCACATTTGTTACAGACATACCAACTGGCAGTCCTAGATTCTATGTATCAAACCTACATGATCGACGTAAATATGACTGTCAATAAAAATGAAAAAAATCTGTAAAATTATCCAATCATTATGAAAATACCAGGTGCGCACCTTCACATGGTGAATAATAAGTGTACAAATTTTCAGACAAATCCACGCAATAGTCTCCAAGAACAGGTCTGGACAAAATCCCATCTACAGACAGACGGACAGCTAGACAGAGGGATATGGTAATTGCAATATACTCTTTAAAAACTTTGTTTGCGTGGGGGATGGGGGGGGTAATTGTTACCCCATATTATAATATCCCCACTCTAACTGTAAAGGTCTCTGTATTTACACAAAATGGGGATGCATCAAAATCATTATGACTATCATGGCCTTGCAATAATAGAGAAGCAAATTATTTTCCTGTGTATATGCATTATGTAAAATTTCATCCATATTTAAGCTAATTCTAACAGACATTGCATAATTTGAAGAAAAAAAAATGAATCCACTTAGCTTTGGAAAGTTTGCATGTGAATGGTGTGATGATTTTAGATTTTCAAAATTTATTTTCTATATTGTTCATGGTAAAACTTTGATCCCCTATTGTGATGGAACCCTCCCCCCCCCCTTTCCAGGCACCATGATTCATTTTAATTTAGAACCTACACCACCTCATAAAATTCTTTCTTATAAGTTTCATCTCTTTTTGGACCAGTGGTTCTTGACTAGATTTTTAAAGAATTTTTTCTATATATATTTCAATGTAACTTAACTCTGAACTTCAATTGTGGCCCCACCCTACCCCAGGGGCAATGATTTGAACAATTTAGAATCTACACTACCTCAGAGAGCTTTGTTATAAGTTTTATCTCTTCTGGCTCAGTGGTTCTTGAGAGGATTTTTAAAGATTTTTTTTTCTATGTATTGAAACATAGAAATTTGATCTTCTATTGTGGCCCCACCTTACCCCAGGGGCCAGAATGTTTATAATTTTGAATTAACCTCAGGAAGCTTGCATTTTAGTTTCACCTTTTTAGTTCTAGTGGTTCTTCAGATCTTTAAAGAATTTTTCCTACATATTTCAATGTAAAACATTGATCTTTATTGTGGCTCACCTCAAC